CTCTCCTCTCCTCTCCTCCTCCCCTCCCCTCCCCTCTCCTGTTCTCTTCTCTCCTCTCCTCTCCTCTCCTCTCCTCTCCTCTCCTCTTCTCTCCTTTTCTCTTCTCTTCTCTTCTCTTCTCTTCTCTTCTCTTCTCTTCTCTTCTCTTCTCTTCTCTCCTCTTCTCTTCTCTTCTCTTTTTTTCTCTTCTCGCCTCTTCTCTCCTCTTCTCTCTCTTTGCAATATTTAGGGAATTAATTATTCCACAGAATATATACTACATATCCCATTACACATTATCTGTGTGCATATATGTGTGTGTGTATGGGTAAAAGTGCTGAATAGTGCAAGGAAGGAGCAGATGAAAATTTCCATTTTTGTGGTTCTTTGAAATTGGCAGCCTCTGCTGGCTGGGTTGGCTCTGGGAATCACCTACAGCCTGCCCTGGTCTGGAGTCAGCCAGCTGCTAAGGTGAAAGCCCTCCTTCCCTGAGCTCCGGGACACTGTTTCCCAGGGCTTCCCCAATCTCTGCTTCCCTGGGATGGCGCCTCACTAACCCTTTTAGTGGCTTTCCTGGGGTAGGTCCTCCCCCTGGGAGTTTCCAGTCCTCCAGACAGCACTGGAGAGCCGCCTGCAGAGGGTCACTGTGGTCTCACCGAGCGCTAGCTCATCAGGTCACCTGGCTGGATGTCAGACAGGGGTCCAAGGCTTGGCTTTGAGTTGAAGTGCCACTTGCTCCCCAGGGGATAGTAGGAACAGGAAATGTGTTCTTTTGGACCTCTGCACTTTGCCTTTAAGGGACTAGAGACCCCCTGGGTCTTCCATTGCCAATGCCAGCAAGGTTTAGCAGAGGACACACAGAGCATTGCAGCCAACAGACTGGGCTTCAAATGTTGGCTCCCAGACTTCGGTAAGTCACTTCTCTGAGCCTCACTTTTTCTGTCTGTAAAATGGGGAACAATACTGCCGTTCTTGCACTGTTGTTGGGAGAATGGAAGTAGTGTTTATGTAATGCCTGGTCAATGAAAAACTGCTATTATTAATATGAATGTAAGATTATAAGTAAGTGTGAAGCAGTTGCATGCTTTTTTGAGCACTCTCTCTCCTGTAGGGCTTATATCCATAGAAGAATGAGTAAAATCAACTCTGGTCTAAATATTCCCAAGGATGAGTGGTGGGTTCAGAAGGTAGTCGGGTCTGCTGCTTGACCTTTATCAAGCAGAGCACTCTGTTGCCAGCTGGTGAAATACGGCCAGACTTAGTTGTTTTCCTCAGTTCTCTGTTGGCCCATAAACTGGAATACACAACAGCTAGATCTTTGCCTATAGCTACAAGCAGCTGGGCATGGTGACTGGGAGGTCTCCTGGCTGCATCCATCCCCAGATGCACCAGAAACGGTCTCTGTAGAGAGAAATGTCTCCACTGCCGTCTTTTAAAGCTTGGCATAGATTTAGCCAATTCAGCTTCTTCTCTCTCCCTCCCTCTCTCCCTCCCTCCCTCCCTCTCTCCACCTCCTTCCCCCTCATCCTGGCCCCTCATTTGCAAAAAGTTGGATGACTGACATGGAAATATGGGAAAGAAATATCACAACCCTAAAAGGAAATGGGGCAGCCTGGCAGTACCCATTCCACAGATTGGTCGGTATGTTCTGCAGGGCGTTCTTGTATGCAAAGATGACAATATTGATCCCTATATCATCGAGCCTTTGAGCTATACTAAGCACTTTCCCACATCATAACCTCAATGATTTTTATGTCAACATTGCAGGGGATAAATGATCATTTAAAGCTTCACAGATAAAGAAACTGAGGCTGATAAAAATGTGCGTATTTTTCTAAGCCTCAGTTTGCATAGCTGGTAAAAGGCAAAAGCTGGGATCCAGGCCCAGGTCTGTATGATGTTGACACTCACCCCTTTTCCCGGTGCCGCCAAGCTCCCTATAGCAGAGAGTTGCGTCAGGGCAATAGATCCCAGTTCTTCTTCTAAAGAGCAGGAATGGCCAAATCTTCTGATGGTTTTAAGTGGCGTGAACATACATCCTGCATGTGATACGTACTTATAGGCAGCAACAATAAGATCACCTGTGGAATAATTTTCCTACTCTCCCACTCCTGCTGGGGCTCCAGATACTCAGCAAGCGAGGCTGTCTGGCTCTGGGCCATTGACTTCCTGAGCGATCCTTTTAAGGTAAAAAGAGCTATGGAATTTCCTTTTTTTCCCTACCTTTAGAAGGAGTACCATTTACATTCACCTCCCTGGGTTAAGCATGCATTCATTCATTCGACAGCTACTTGTTGAGTTCTGGGTAAGACAGACAAGGTGCTGGCTCTGGTGAAGCTTCTGTGCTAGAGAGAGTGACAAATGAGGGGCAGGGGATAAATATATAAATAAGATAACCTCAGATATTGATAAATGCCATGAAGGAAGTAGAGAGCCTGGGGACTAGACTGTACCAAGGCGTAGAGGCAACTTTATTAAGGAAGGCAGCTCGAGAAAATTTCCATTAGAACTTTATGTTCGCTCTTGAACTTACACTTGCCTGATAAGAGGGGCCCAGGCCATGAAGATCTGGGGAAAGGGCTGCCTTAGCAGAAGAAACCTCCAGGGAAAGATCTAGAAGTGTAATACATGAAGCACTAGCGCCTCAAATACAATAAAATGGCCCCCTAGAAATCCAGTTGAGTTCTATATGGGGGAGATTGTTGTTTCAAGGCCTATTATATTGTTCTAAGCTGTGCCGTGTACTTTATACTTATCTTACTTAATCTTCTCAACAATCTGATAAGTTAGCTATTTTTGTCATGACATAATAGTTGAAAAAATCAAGACTCAGAGATGATAAGCAGCTAGCCCACGGTTACAACACTAGTATTTTAATCTCAGAGTGTTTTGCTAACCTAGCATATGGTCTTTGAGATAACCTCTTCTAGGGGATAGTGAAAATATCAGAAGTATGTTAGGTAGCTAAATGTTAACAGTAATTTCTAGCTGATGTCCCAAGTTTGTTAGTGGCTGTTAATGTAAAAAGCAATCAAAGCTGTAAAGAATATTTGTGAGTTTATTTGAGCCAAACTGTTGACAATTGCCAGGAAGCAGAATCTCAGCGTACTGAGATAGTGCTCTGGAGAGTGGCGGGTTTTTACCTTGTTTTGTACATTACGATCGGAAGGGAAGATGTAAGTGGGTTACATGAACGCTGTTGGTGATAGACTAGGGAGGTGGGAGAAAACAAAATGGTGGGGGGAACCTCTGGGATTGGGTAAAAAGTAAAATGATAGCCCTAGCATGTTTGGCTCAGTGGATAGAGTGTTGGCCTATGGACTGAAGGGTCCCACCTTCGATTCCGGTCAAGGGCACATGCCCAGGTTGCAGTTCGATCCCCAGTAGGGGTCATGCAGGAGGCAGCCAACCAATGATTCTCTCTCATCATTGATGTTTCTATCCCTCTCTCCCTCTCCCTTCCTCTCTGAAATCAATAAAAATATTTTTTTTAAAAAAAGGAAAATGATAGACACATATGTCTTTGACTTAGGTGGGTGCAGGATAGTTAACAGTAAACAACTCAATAACAATGAGGGGACTTGTGGTCTCCGCAGAGCAGTGCCTGTGCTTTGAGAGGTCCAGAAAAAAGGAAAATGACTTTGACATTCCAACAACATGTTATCATAGATGCAAAAAGATAATAGGCCCAATTAATGTAAAGACTGACCTTTGTCAGGGAAGATACCAGCCGAGGACGTGACTAACCACCATCACTCCTTTTAGTTAAAGTTTTAATTTCAGATCAGCCTTTGTGGTTACTTTAGGTCTCTGAGTTTGCAAGACCACCTCGCAGGCCCTCCCTGAGTTAGTCACGTTAGCGTGTGGCCTCTTTTCGTCGACATGGGTCTCCGTCTGTACTATGTAATATGCAGCACTAGCCACGTGTGCTTAAAATGTGCCTGTCCAGATTGAGCTGTGCTGAAAGAGTAAAATACACCCTAGATTTCAAAGAACTAGACCCAAAAATATCTCATCAATTTTTATATTGATTATATGTTAGAATGATAATATCTTGAATATATTAGTTTAGATGAAATATATGAAAATTAATTTCATTTTATTTTTAATGTGGGTAATAGAAAATTTTAAACCATACTTGTGGCTCACATTATATCTCCATTGAACAATGCTGATATAGAAGAACGATTTGACAAAGATATGATACATTTTTCTTCCTTCTTCCTAACTTGACTGTTCCTCTGTTCTTGACTCAGACTCCAGCTCAAGTCTGTCCCCAAATCCAGTTACTTGGTGAAGCAGTAGACAAGAGGAAAGCAGTCCCCTCTACGCTCGCCCCAACCTCACTCTTCTGCTGGGCAGGTGGTAATTTGCAGCCACTTCATCATGTCCCCATCGGATTTGATGGACCCAGCCATGGGCAAGCTACGGCCCGCGGGCCGGATCCGGCCCGTTTGGCTGTTCTGTCCGGCCTGCGGAGCCGAAAGAGCGGAGGGTTCTCTTGCTCTCCCCTCCGCTCCTTCACCAGCAGCAGTGTTAACATGGCAACGTCGGGAAACACGGCCGCAGCTCCTTCTTCTGAGTCCAGTTTAAGAACCCATTGTGGCCCTCGAGTCAAAAAGTTTGTCCACCCCTGGTAGACCTAGTAGTTACATTCGTCATCACCCAACCTCTGACTCAGGCGAATCTCAAGACACTGTCGGATACCCTAGGACCAAAGGGTCATTTTGAATCTGGGTTTACAGTTTTAACTTTAAATCACTTCCCAGGACAGTGTGTCTGTTGTTCGAGGCATTTTGTCAAGTCAGACAAGGAGTCAGCCAGGGCTTCTCGTTTGTGTGCAAAGTCCTGGAATAAATCACTTCACTGTGGTGACAAATGTGTCTTCCTCCTCCCTGTTCTCTTGCTTAAAACGATTTGAACAAGATGCAGGGCCGGTTTCCAAGATGCAAGGCTGCTCCAAGGACATCACAGAAGGCCGTGCGGGGCTCTTTGTCCACCAGCTAAAGTGGCCCTGGCATATGTCAGTGAAGTAAAGATCTGATTTGCTCCTGCAGTTTTATTTCTTCCAAAGGAGAAAGCCAGTCAGATTTTGGTAGAGGGAGCCTCTGGCCTGGGGTATCAGAGGCCTGGATTCTACTTTAGTCTACTGGTGTGTGTGTGTGTGTGTGTGTGTGTGTGTGTGTGTGTGTGTCCCGCCCCCACTCCCCACAGTCCTGCAGTGATTCTGGAATTGATGAGCTATTGGCCCATCAGTGCTAGTGGGGAAATGTGCGATGAAATCGTGGGCGGTGGCTGTCCCTGACAACCTGAGGACTGGGGGCTTCCGCAGACACTCGCCTACGAGAGGAGTTTCCTTCCGGTGGCTGGGGCCAGAGTGCTGTATAAGATGCTCTGGGAAATATACAAGTAGCCCTTGTTCATTGCCACTTGGAATCTAAATCTGGAGGGGAAATGGCAGTAAGAAGCTGACAGGAATGAACTTTCATGTATCTACATCCACAGTAACATATTTTTTCAGCATCTTCTATGCCAAGAATTCAGTGCCAGACTCCATGGGGAAAATAAATGACGAATAAAGCCAGGTCTTTGGTTTGGAGAGCATGTTACCTAGTCGGGAAGGTAGGCATAAATGTAAGCCATCAGAAGCAATGTAGGATGACCGCCAAAGTTACATGGATGATACAGTTAGAGTCAGAGGTTCCCGAGGGCAGTGTGCCCTACGCCCTAAAGTACAATGAGAAAGACAAGGTGAGAGACGGCCATTGAAGGGTGTAAGGCTAAGCCAAAGACAAACGGAGACATGGAGACAGGAAGAGAGGGCTCTCCAAGTAAGGAGCGATGCACAGGCGGCAGAAGGAGGAAGTGTGTGTGGAGTGTTTGGTGATGCGGAGGAGAACCGCTGGAATCCTAGGGAAGCTTTGAAAAACTACTGATGCCCCCACCCTCTCTCCCAAGTCTTCATCGAGTCCATTTAGGAATGGGGCATGGGATCAGTGTTAGCGTTGCTTAGTTCCCCAGAGTGTTCTAATGCGAAGCCAAAGTTGAGAGTCACTGAACAAAAACACCATGATCTCTAGATCATAATCATGGGAAATAAAATTAAAAGGGCGATATTTTAAAAAGAAGTCAATGGACAGTCAGGGTGTGTGGTCTTCGCTTTGTGGAAATTTTATGTACACTTATATTTCTATGTAGTCTTTTTAATTCACAGATAATATTTGTAGCTATTCTATTGACTTGGGTGTGTGGCAAATGAGAGGTGTAGCCAGCTGCCCATATGCTGCGTGCTTTTGGGGTGCCCTGGAATTAACCTGAGCTAAGGATGGCGCAAGTGGTACCGCACAGCTGCTGTATTGACCAGGCTCTGTGTAATCTTGCAAAGGGCTTCATTATCATGCCCATTAGTGCCAACAATAGCTATTTTATTACAAACCGTGATCTCCCCACACTTCCCCCACTTTACAAATTAAGAAATGGTGTTTAATTACTTGCCTCGGGCCTTGAGCTTGCTGGCAAGAGAGATGAGAGTAGAATTCTCAGCCACTGAATTCCCCGTATCTGCTTTGGCTCCCAAAGAAAGTGTGCCAGTCTCCTGTTACAGAATACTCTGTACCTGGCAATGTTAGTCCTTCGATGAATGAATTAGTGTTATGGCCCAGTAGGTAAAAGATGACTAGACTGGCTGAGCTATCAACGCTGTGCTGAGTGTTAGCGTCCGTCTGCAGGCAGCCACAGGGGTCCCAGGAGCCTACCTGAGCTTCCCTCCACGTGAAAGCTCAGCCATGCACACCTACAGCTCATCCACTCCTGCCTTTGGGAAGTGAAGGCTCCCTAGCCCCAGAGCTCTGTAGCTATTGTGATTTTTCTTTTTTTCTTTTCTGGAGCTTCGATTCACCAAATAGTGACTTTTATTACATACGAGAGGGGGAGAGAGAGAGAGAGAGAGAGAGAGAGAGAGAGAGAGAGAGAGAGAGAGAGAGAAAAACCCAGCAGTTTTTACAGCTGCATTTTTAAAGAATTCTTGCCACTGTAGGTCTTGTTCTGGGTTTATTGCTAGTGGTGAGGCTGGGAGCTCTTTGTGAAAGCTAGTGGAGGGAAGCTAGAGTCCTGGCACTGCAGCCTCTTCAGGACAAGCAGATAGGTCAATTTTGTGCCATCCCAAATGGGTATTCTCTTTTTCTCTATCTTGCAATCTATTACTGATTGAAGAACAATTTCCAGTATCTTTATACCAAAACGCAAGCCTCAACACTGATTGCATGTGAGAATCATCTCAGGAGCTTTAACAATGCGCTGCCCAGGCCCCATCCGTAGAGCCCTTGCATCAAGATACTAAGACTGCGTCCTGGGCATCCTATTAACTTACTGTTCTTCAGGGAGCTGCATAGCGCTTTGGGACGAGCTGATCTTACTGCTCAGCTAAGACCCAAATCTTCATTACTTGTTTCTGTTTCTTGTTTTAGGTGGCATGGACCTTAGAGAACCATCCAAACCATATTTTTGTTGGGTAGCAGCACCATCATTGTCCTCTTTAGAAAGCATGATCTCGAATATAATATTAAGCTTTCTACCTGTCTAACTAGCGCCACACTCAGAGGGGCCCTGCAGAGCTTCGTGACTAAAATCATGCATGTGCAGTGTGGAAATCAGGTTGCCGGAAACTTGATAATTATGAGATTGAAAGATAAACATCAAGCTTCCCTACCTCCATGCATTACATTTCCCAGTTCCTATGTTGATCTTTAGTTAACCAACACTTGCTTTTCTGTCTCAGACATTTTAAAGTCAATTAACTTTGTTCCTGTTGACACCCTTATTAAAAATACAATTGAGGCCGTATTCTCCAGGGACTGTCATTGGGTAGAATTTACAAGGTGAATTGGCCCCAGAACTAACTCAGTTGTATAAAACCCTCTCCGTCCCAGTAAATGGGCCGGGTTGCAGAGGCTTCCAGCATCAGACTGGGCTTAGGGGAGTCATGAATTTTGGTTTGGAAAGGGCCAATTACAAGTCACCCTCAATACAGAAGAACCTGGGATATGGAAAATAACTCCAGAATCAATCTGAGAATAATTATCCAGGGTCCAGTTAAGTCGAAGCCTCCAATCTTTCTCAGAAAGTTGTATCACTACCAAGAAGCAGCCAAGTTTTTGTACCGACTTGGGAGGCAGGGGATGAGGTAACACTGAGCTTTTCTGGAGTCCTAAGATGACAGGATTAGAAGATGAGAAGCTGTTAAGGGAGGTTGCAGGGAGGAGATGGATGAAGGTCTGCTGTGAGCCATGCATGTTGGGCATTGGCCATGTCTATTCACTCCCCTGTTCTTTATGGAGGGTCTGCTCTGTGCCAGGGAGCCTTAGAGGAGCCGGAAATGGAGTGATGAAGCTATTGCTGTCGTGGAGTCTGTATGCCAATGAGAGCAAGTATCCTCATTGAAAAACAAACAAATCAAACTGAATGAGTTCGCGCTATAAAATAATGAAGTGAAGGGAAGGGAATAGAGTCTAAGAAAGGCTGCTTTCAACAGGCTTGCAGGAGTTGCTCTCTGAGGAGGTGGCGCTGGAGCCGGCACAAGATTGTAAAGAGAAGCCACGCGGAGATCAGGAAGAGAGAAGGCCAGACAGAGGGAACAGCAGGAGCAAAAGTCCTGAGCTTGGAAAAAGTTCGATATGTTTGGAAAACAGATAGAACAGTGCAGCTGGGCCTCAGGGAGAAAGGGTCAAAAGTCAGGCAGGAAAGCAGCCCGTAGGTGGTGGGATGGAGTTAGGACTTTAAGTGTTTTAAGGAAATTAATTTTAAGTAGGGGAGTTGTGTGTTTTACATTGCATTTTAGAGATGGCTTGGGGCTCTAGAAGGGATGGTAGATTAGAGGCAGAGGGAGAACTGGGAGGCTGAGCAGGACAGACTGCATGAGGATGGAGCCACAAAGGCGGTAGCATGGGGTAGAGTGTTGGAATCTGGAGCAAGTGTCAAGGTAGGGCCATCCTGGCGTTCAGACTGAAAGGGCCAGGAAAAGTGACAGCAGGCCTAGGCCTGTCTCAGACAAGTCTCCTGCCCCTTCCTGACTGCGGCCAAACTTGACTGGTTGTGAACCTGAGGTGTTGTTTGGAAACATGAGGGCCTTTGACCTTAACTTGTTTAAACAAAAAGTCCAAATTCCTTCCAAGACAACATAACTGCTGCCTGCTTTTAACCTCCTAACCATCAAAATGTTATCCTGTCTGATAAGACCATTCCTCTGGGTTTGGTTGTGTGTGTTGTTTATTACTGTGCTTTTTATAGGTGCTGAAAATGTCAGGTTCCCATTGCTAGTTGCTCTCTTCTCTGAGTATTTCAACACCTGGGCTGTATTTACTGAGTCCGCCATGGGCCAGATGTTCACACCTGGTGCCAGTTTCTCTAGATCAATGCGTCATAGTAGCAGGCTCTCAATGAGCACTCACTGTATTCCAGGCATTGTTTGAGAACTTCACATTTTCACCCGTTCAACCCTCCCAGCCACCCTTTGAGTGAGTACTCATTATTATTACTATTTCAAAAGTGAAGAAACTGAGGTAGATAAGAGGTTCTGTTGTTTGCTCAAGACCCCACAGCGGGCAAGGGGCAAAGCCAGGCTTTGACCTGCGGGGGACTGTGCCGTCCAGGCTCTGAGCCGCGAAGCTGCGCCCCTTCTCACCTGCCGCCTCTACACTCGCCTATGGAACCAAAGCTGCTATCTCCCTCGGTCACTGAACCGGCTCTCTTCAGATTTAGGTTTGTTTCTTCTGAAAACAAAACAAAAACAACCCAAGGCCCCACTGGGAGGCCGCTCCCCTGGCCAGGGCTTCCAGAAGTGGGCTGGAGGGGAAATGGCAGACCTTAGAGGCCCGGGGATGCGGCCCCTTTGCAGGAGGGCCCCACATCTAAGCCACCGGCCTCTGCCCAGGGGGCAGGATGAACCCCACCTGGGGAGCCGGCTGTACAAGGTCGCCCACAGCAGAGGGCTCTGGGTGAAATGCCCCCTCTTCTCCTCACCTCTCTTCTACCCATGACTAAAGGGCCTGTGTGGTGCCCACCTGCCTGTCCCTCCTAGAGGGCTGATGAAATCCAAGTTAGTCAATAGCTGTGCAGCGAATTCTAGCTGCTCGCCAGGGTCATTTGAGGCTGGCCCTTAGAAACCAATAGAAAGAGTCATTAATTCATTTGTTAGCATGTTTCTGCTTTAAAAATATTGAAGACTCTCTCCAGAGGTTTATCATGAGCAGTGAAAAAAGCCTGGAGAACACAACAGCTCAGGCTGTCTCTCTACCTTTCACTGCATATCTGCTTCCAGAAAAGTCTTCTCTCATAATCAGCACACCAGTAGCAGACCTCCTCCCCTGCCTAGTGGGAGTAACAGCAATGAACTGAACAGAATCGAGCTTTGTACAAAGACATTCATTATGGTTGCTTGAACTCCGTTAATGAATTCTTCAGCAATGATGGGAAAGGCAGGAATTGTGATGTTTCATCGCCTATGCTATAAGTTTTAACTTGTTATATATGTCAATTAAATAGCAGGCATTTTTTTCTGCAATTGCCATAGGGTAGTTTCTCTCAGCAATTGGAATGCCTTCATTGGAAATGTTGAATTCATCTCATCAACAATCTGTTCATTCCACTGTTTGCTTTTCAATAAAAATGCTATTTTTAAATGTCATACAGCACATGCCAGATATTTCCTATTCAAAACGACAAAAGAACCTCCAAATTCAAAATGACAAAGGAAAAAAAGGGCTGTAGTTATGGTTGCATGAGGCTCTCATCTTATTTACTAGCAAGTCAGGAAGACTGCAGTGTAACATCGCTTAACTGAGGAAAGTTTGAAAGCCATTTCACATCTTCCAATCGCCCCCAAGTAGCTCAGAATCCTACTACTAGGTTAATATAAAAAAAATGCATCTTCAAACCTTTATTGGACAGTTTTGACAAAATATTCAGCAGAAAGTGAGGGTGAATGGCTACCAAATATTGGTATGTCCTAAGTCCAAGTCATTCAAAGATCAGTGCAATGTGCTGGCAGCTGTGTGATCATAAGGTGGCCCCAACACCCCTTTGGGGTTTTGAACTAGCAGAGTTTTATTTTTCACTTAGCAAGCTTTCCTGATTTTACTTTTTGGGGGACATCACTGAAACCATACCACTATTCAGATCTGTGACTTTTTATTTATTTTTGTATGTGGTTTAAAATTCAAGGTACAAAAGAATATTCAATGAAAACATGCCTTCCTGGTGGGGAAGGCTGGGTGGGTGGGAAGAGATCACCAAAGGACTTTATACGTACATCTAGAGGTGTGATGCATGAAATTCATGCAAGGGGCTCAGTCCTCACAGCCCCGGCTTCGTCTGGAAGGTCGTCCGGACGGTTGTCCTGCTGTTCAGTCTAATTAACATATTAGCTCTTTATTATATAGGATATGCATAACCCGTGGACACAGACAATAGGATGGTGAAGTCATGGGGAGGGGTCAGGAGGAGGCTAGAAAGGGTCAATGGTGGGTAGGGGGAGGGAGGCATATGTAATACTTTCAACAATAAAGATCTACATATATAAAAGCCAAAGTGACCAAATGACCGAATGACCAGTTGCTGTGACACGCACTGACCACCAGGGGGCAGGCGCTCAATGCAGGAGCTGCCCCCTGATGGTCAATGCACTCCCATAGCCAACCTCCGGTGGCCAGCCAACCTCCTGAGGAACCTCCCCCCTGACGGGCCCCAATCGACGGCCAGGCTGAGGGACCCCACCCATGCATGAATTCGTGCACTGGGTCTCTAGTTTAAAAAATAAAGAAAACACATCTTCCCTTTCTTGTTCCACAGTCACTGATTGCCTGACCAGGCAATCACTCATGTTAGATAACCGGTTTGGCTCAATGGATAGAGTGTTGGCCTGTGGACTGAAGTGTCCCAGGTTTGATTTCAGTCAAGGGCACATGCCCGGGTTTCAGGCTCGATTCCCAGTAGGCAGCGTGCAGGAGGCAGCCAACAATGATTCTCTCTCATCATCATTGGTGTTTCCCTCTCTTTCCCTCTCCCTTCCTCTCTGAAAGCAATAAAAATATATATATTTTAAAATGCACCACATGTGTGAATATGCGCTAGATGTCCGTTTTTAATTATTTCACACCCAAGATGTTATGACTCTGTGAAGCCAGAACCTACATTCTAGTGCTGACCTCTTAGTCCTACTAACACTTGATTCTTATCGATCCTGTAGCCTCCTCTCTAAACTCAAGTGCATTGTTCAGTGTGGCTATTAAAGGATGAACAGCAGTCTTCAGAGAAGGGTCCATCTGCCAAAGATAGAGGAGGGGACGAAGTTACAGGAGATGCCCACCTCTGAGTGTCAGCGGGCACGTGCTTTCAGTGGCACATTTACAAACAATTCAGGTGGAGTTGTTAAGTGTTAGGGTGTAAGTCCTGGGATCTAAGCCCGCTTGGGCTGTCTTCTGCAGGGATTTAGGGGTGTCGGGTTCACTTTGGCTCCCAAAGCTGCCACGCACACCCATTTCAGAAGGCTGGAGATTGAATCTCCTTCCTGCATTCCCCGAGCCTCACTGCCGTTGCGGGTCTCTGAGTCTCAGCAGGAAAGGATGGATGACCTGAAGGATAGGTGGACTTGAAAGTCAGTCAATGGAGCTATTTGTTGACATTTGGGAGGAGCATGAGGGAAGGCAAAACCTGGGATCCAGGGAGAATTTTATTTCTTTTTCTTTATTAATTTAATTACTTTCAGGGGCATCAACAAATTCTATATTTTTGTGTCTTTTTTTTTTATTGTTGACACTATTAGAAATGTCCCTCATTCCACCACCTTTGTCTCCCTCCATCCAGCCCCCCAAACCCCTGCCTCCACTACATCGTTCTCTGTGTCCACGGGCTCTGCATATATGTATATATGTTCTTTGGCCAATCTCTTCCAGTCTCCCCAACCCCCGTTCCTTCTTAGATCTGTCATTCTGTTATTTTTTTTCTTTAAAAATATTCGGGATCAGTCATTGTGATGGGGATAACAACAGCAATGACTAAACGTTTTAACTACATCCTGTATGCTAAGCATTACTACTCTAAATTCTTTACATACATTAACTTGTTACCAACATAACAGCTCACCAGAAGCAGATCTGTCCCCATCTTACAAGGAGAAAAATGTGTTAGAGACACTGTAAAAGACTCACCTCAGGTCTAAACCTAAGATTTGACCCAGTGAATACCGGAGCTCAGGTGGTGGGCTTTGGAATTGAACCTAAAGAATGAAGCACTTATATAACAGACAGAGCCTTCAAAGTACAATGAATTTTAGAATGCACTCATTCTGCCCATGGCATTACCCCGTCACCTTTAGTTAACACCTTGTGTTAGTCATATGCTTACTATTGATCAACAGTACTACGTAGTAAACTGCTGGGAGGCAGGCTTATGACTGACTCACCTTTGTATACCCTACCTCAGAGCCTAACAATGTCATTCAAATTACAATATTCAGTAAGTGGGATAAACCTATCACAAAAGAATGTTTCAAATCATCACAGATTACAGTTGGTTAGAAACCAAATCCTTGTCAGCTTATATCATTTCTAACTAAATGACTGTCCATGTTGCTTAAAGAACTGGAATTTTGCCAATCACCTGTAAGGTCTAGACTCCAAGTCTGTAAGGCAGCAAACTGTCTTTGTGTTGGCCTATGTCACAGGTTGTCCACGTACTAATGACTGGTTATATGCGGATCTCCTGCAGAGGATCACATAAGGCCTAAGAAATAAGTTTGCCTCATTATTTCAACTCTCCTCCATTATCATTCAGAAAGAATTCCCTGTTGCCTCCACTTACCACACTACAATGTCCCCACATAAACCCCAAGTCCCTTTTCTGTTTCCACTCCCACTCCATTGTCGGCTTTCCTCTGTCAGATTTCTTCCTCTGAACTGAATGTTTGTAAGACTGTGTTAAAGAACTTGATAAACCATTCAGGCCACCATGATTCAAGAAATAAATAGTCCCAGCATTTGCATTTTCATAATAATGGATCAACTTGAAGTCTTTACTAGTGGAACTATCACTAACAGCTAGGCTGGGGTGGGGGGTGGGGGGGGAGAGGGAAGGTGAAGTCCTCCAATCACACCTTGCAGTAGCTCCTTCTGCTGCCTCCAAAGCCTTATTGGTGTCCCCCTGAGTTGGAAGGCCTCAATGCCAGAGCACTTACTCCTAAACATCAGTGGATTAAGGGGTCTTCCAAGAACTCAGAACTTGACCTCAGGTGGCAAGTCTTGTGTGCATCTTGCAAATGAGAATATTCATTGGAATCAGACTAAGCACAAATCTCAGCTCCAACGTTTCAGGGGTGAAACTGTGGAGCCAGTTAGGCACCTCTCCTGCCTTACCGTCTCAGCTGCATACAGAGGACATTAAAACATACATTCCAGGGCTGCTGGGGGAATGAGACAAGATAAGGTATGTAAAACACTTGGCACTGAGGAACACTCAGTTCAGCTCATGGGAGGCACTGGTATCACCTTCATCAAATAATTCAGGACTTATTGGGGAGACCTACAAATGTACAGTCAACAAGGCAAAATTCCAAGGGAATGGAGCAAATGTTGGGTCTGAGCTTAGCAGGAATAAATGAGCTTGTAGGACCCTAAAACTCCTCGTGTGAGCTGCTTAGTTCAACCATGTCCCTTCCTTTTCCCACTTCACCAGCAGACGAACATGGCACTGCTGGTTGGCAGCCCTTATCATAGACTTCACCTTCTCTGAATACAAAAGCAGCCTGTCCCTTCTTCCTGCCGCATGTGCTTCAAGGCTGTGCTACTGAAAAGTGTGCTAAACTTCTCTTGAGTGTCAGTCTCCTTTGTAAAAACAGATTTGATAAGACCTATGCTCAGGGCTGTTTGGAGGCTGGAGTAACAGGTGAGAAGCACCTCAGCCATAGTTGGCCTCACAGTGGGCTGGCTTGCTTCTCCCTTGACCCCATGCTTTGGGATGGCTTGAGCAGTGTGTCACATACGGAGGAAAGGCTCTGGAATGATGGATAGTTTGTGGATTGGGTGCTTTGTACACCCAGCCACAAATGGCGGACTTTGAAGGTCATTGCTCTCACCAAATACTTCACTGGAGAGCTAGGTTCTGAGCCTTTGGAACCCAAATCTGATAAGTATTCAGGAAACCTCCTCACGAGATGAAGCCAGTAGATTAGCCCAATAGACCTTCTCCATTTGCCCTACATTTGATGCCAGCAGGCAAATCAGAGCTGGCTGGATAGTGTGCAATTCTAAGAAATGAGGAGAGGGCAGAAACACCTGTTCTTCCTGTAGCAACGCCAAAGCAAATGGAAGCAGCTCCAAAATGTATCAGCACCATTGGCAAGCACGATGGGAAAGGCTGGAAAGGTGCTGCCCAACTCCCATTGCTGGTGAGAGCACTGCTGCCACCGGTCCCAGGGAGCTGCCAGCCTGGCCTCAGACTGAAAGGCCTGCATGGCCAGGGCCTGGGCTCGGCAGGAACTGGGCCCCCAGCACCGAGGATTGAGAACCAGCCTAACAAAGCGTGCTGTTTCCACTCGTGAGAGATGGATTGATAGGAGTTTTGTGATGCACTAACCCACCTCCAAGGCCAAACAATCACACAGGCAAAATGCCTGCCTGCCTTTGGCGTGGA